CCAGAGCCTTCCGACGCGTCACACGTCGATCTCGCACGGCTCCGCGACCGCCCACCGAACCCGAAGTCCTTCAGAATGCCCAGAACCTCCACGCGCCAATGGTTGCTGGGTTGCCTGGATTAGCGCATGGTCTACCGACAACGACTGCGCAGATGGCTAGAACCTAAGCGCGCGCGTAGCGCGCGCGTGGTTCTAGTGTGTCTCTCAGAGGGGCCCAAGAGGTCCTTAAGAGACCCCCGAGGGAGCCCCAAGAAGTCCACAGGAGGCCCCCAGGCGAGCCCAGGAGAGCTCCAAGCGGGCCCCGAGACGGCCAAGGCCCCCCGAGAAGGCCCAAGAGGGTCCCAGGACAGCCGTAGAGGGCCCCACACCAGTTCGTGAAGGCTCCGAACCAGCCTCCGAGAAGCTTCCCCAGAGACGCCGACGTAGACCTTCAAGGAGGCCTCTGGCCCGCCGCCTCGGCCGATCTCTCGAAGGCTCTTGTGGGCGGCCCCCGCGGCGCGTGCACCGCCGCCAGTGCGCTCCAAAAACGCACCGCGTCGCCGCACGGAGAAGCCCAGGAGCCCCTGCTGCCCAGAAATGACTCGCACGGGCTTCCGGAAATTACGAAGGAGCATCGGAAGGAGCAAACATCGCTCGAACACGGCTTTGCGACAGCTCCTGAACGGATCAAATGTTATCCCAAGACACCCACTTAAGTCTCTCGACATCCTGACTCGCCGCGCTGCGGCCCCAAACGTCCCAAGCGGCCCTCATCGGGTTCCTTGGAACTCTCCATGCGACTCAAGAAAAAAAACGTCAAAATCAGCAAGCTCGCCGACCGAGTCTTGTCGAGGCCACTGCGCGCTGTTTTGGGGGCCGATGCGCGCCGATCAAGGTGCACGGCGCGAAGCGGCAATGCAGTCTTGTACACATATGTCTATATCTACACGCACACCTGCAACATTTGTATCTCTATACATACAAGCATATTTATGTCGACATACATTTAGATATACACATGTTTATACACCTACCTACAAGCATACATCTACACATACTCCTCTTCCTATATTTTTGCAAGCCCGGGCGGGGGGGACCCCCCACCCCCCTCCAAAAAAATGGACTCCTGGGATCTGGTGCTTTGTGACCCTCCGGACGGGCCTCGAAGCGGCCCCCCGGGCCTCGCAGGGCGTTTAGCCAAGCCTTCCCAGCACACCTAGGGCGATCAGGGGGGTCATCGGAGACGTCCCAGAGACCCCCAAGACAGCACACGAGCGCTCCAAGAGTGGCCGACGTGACCTCAAGATGGCCCAAGAGTCCTCCAGGACGGCCCCAAAGATGCCTCCAAGAGCACTCCCAAGAAGGTCCCAAGACGCAAAAATTATTAAGTTTCGGTTGGTTTTGGGTGAATTGTGGGGTTCTCCTCTTTTCGGCTTCCCGACGCTCCAAGACGGCGGTTTTCTGGGCGTCCAAAGCCGCCTGAAAGGCTCCAAATCGCCCCACAACCATCCGAAAGGGCTTCCAGGCAGTCCAAGAGAGCCCCAAAACGGCACAACACGGGTCCAAGATGGCCCTCAGAGAGCCCCATGGCGGCCCAAAATGGCCCCAAGACACCCTTCGAAGCATTCCAAATCGTGACCCGGTCGTTCAGGGAGACCGCGGTTGGAGGCAGGGTGGCCCGAGGAAGCCCCCAGAGGCCCCCAGAATACGCCCAGGAGGCTTCCACAAGGCCTTAAGAAAGCTTGAAAACCTTTTGTGAGGCCCCCAGAGGCTCTCCGAGGAGGAGAAGCATAGAGGAGGGGCAATTGAGGAAAAATGAGGAAAAAGAAGCATAGAGGAAGGGTAACGAATAACATTATTATAGCGGCGATGCCGAAAAAGGCAACAAGGAGTTATCGCTAAATTGTCGGCTTGACCTTCCTTTATTCCGCATGCGCACCAAACTTCAAGGGCCAAGGTGCATGGCGCGAAGCGCCACTGCAGTCTTGTATGTGTATATATACACACACGGCAGGGAATCCTGGGCCCAGGGTCCCGGCCGGCACAACCTTCTGGATGCCCCTTCTTTTTACCCACGACATGTTTCCGCTCAGTTCGGCTTTGGAGGCGTCACACATCGACAAGAGCGGCCTGAAGACATCCGATTCTTGTTTCAAGACGGCCCAACAGGGCCCGAAGACGTCTTAGAAAAGGCTCCAAGATGCGCCCCGAGAGTGCCCCAGGAGTTAAACATTGTCAGGAGGAGGAGGAGGAGGAGGAGGAGGAGGAGGAGGAGGAGGAGGAGGACGAGAAGGGTGAGGAGGGCGCAGAGGAATCTGTGGGGGCGGCAGGGGAGGAGGCGGAGGAGGAGGGTTTCACCCCTGGAAGGTGTTGACTTCCCGGTGGTCTCACTATGTCGTGTTGCTGCTGTTCTCAGCGGCCGCGGCATGCACAACGTTTTGCTGAAGTTAAATATTGTCACATTCTTTGTCGGGGAAACCTACATTTTAGCATGTGCGCATTCGGGGCCTTAACAGCGTCCACGACGGCCCAAGAGACCCCAACTGTCGTGGCGAGACAGCCCAAGATGCTCCCAAGAGGGCCCCGGGGCTGCCCGAGAGAGCCCCAAGACGGTCCAAGAGGCGCCCGAGACGGCCCAAGAGGGCCCCAAGAAAAAGCCAAGAGGGGCAGCTCCAACTGTCATCTCGAGCCCTCCGCTCCCAGTGGGCTCCTTGGCCGCCAGCAGGCACCCAAGAGAGGCCCCGAGGAGCCCCATGGAGAGGCCCCCAAGGGAGGCCCCCAACAGGCTTTGAAGGTCGCTCCGCGAGGCGCCCTGGAAGCAGGCCAGCAGACCCCGAACGAATTAGGTATCCGAGGATCCTCTGGCCCAGAGCACGAACGAGATGGGCACGGAGAGAATGGGCACAATGCTCAGCAGCAGTTCCTGCGCATTTCGAGCAGGACTCGCTGTCCGCGCCGCCGCGGCCTGTGTCCACTCGAGGCAGGAGGCCTCCTGCCCAACAGCGGCCGCTGTTGGTTCGGTACAACATTTGCTGTTGGGCAGTGTACCCATTATTTTCCGTGCCCATTTCGGGCGTCCAAAACAGAAGCGGTATGGGCCGAAGGCCATCGTTAGAGGCAAGAAGCAAGTCGCTTGGCGACGGAGCCATGCCGATGCAGTCACGATGTAGCGCAAGGCACGGGTCTACCTTCATGCGTTGCGCGCCGCGGGCGATGCGGAAAGCGGGTTGACTGCGGAGCACGCGTGCATGGATGAGCTGAACTCTTTCTCATCGGGCACGATCCGCGTGAGGGGTGTGCCGAATAGTTCGGATGCCCCTGCGCGGACATGTCCATTGAGGCCGCAGGTGGACCTCCTCCGGGCATGACCCGTGCGAGGCATGTTCCGAAGTTGGCGGGGGAACGCCATGCGAAGTTGCCCATTGGCCCGGTAGGTGGAATTCCGTCTGTGGCATGATTCGCGTGACGGGTGTGCCGACATGGGCCAGGGGGCGCAGTACGAACCTTGTCTCTGGGTCGTTAGGTGGCGTTCCTTGTGTGCACGGTCCAAATGATGGGGTGTGCCGCAATGGGCGGGGGGGGGTGCAAGGCAGACCCTGCTTCTGGGGCCATAGGTGGATATCCGATGCTTGCGAGACGTGTGCCGAGTAGGCGGGGCAGCGCGGCATGCAACCTTGCCTCTTGGGACCGTCCGTGGAACTCCCAGCGGGCCACGTTCCGTGTGGGAGGTGTGCCGAAGTAAGCCAGGCGACGCTACTAAATTTCCTTCTGGTGCCGCAAATGCAGCTACTTGCTGTGCGCGATCCGCGTGAGGGGCGTACCACCATGCAAACCTTGTCTCTGGGGACGCAGGCGGAGGTCCCTGTGGGGCGCGATCCTTTTGAGGGGTGTGCTGGCATGGGCGGGGGGACGCTAAGCCGATCACGTATTTTGGGCCGTCGGTGGAGCTCTGTTAGGGGCACGATCCGTGTGGCATTATATGTCCTCTGGCGCCGAACATTTTAGACTTCAACCAGGACTTGCTAGAACCTGAGCGCGCGCGAAGCTCGTGCGTGGTTCTTGCATGTCTATTATATATCTACGTGTATACATGTGCCTCCTTGTAGTTCGCCAATTGATTTACGTGCCATTTCTAATTACCTGCATGGGCCTGTGATGCATACTGCCACTGATTACGCAACTGGACAGAGACGGGGACCTCACTGCAGACAAAGTGCATCGTCATTTGCGAGAAATGCTGGGAAATTGAACGTCGAGAAAGGAGGACATGCCTATAATATGAGACAGCGGACAACGTTGATGCCGATAATACATGTTGGAGAAAGGGGGATTTGCAGGCGGACTCGATACTAATTGGTGGACGGCAGGGCTACACTGCGTCTCGTTTAGGTCATCGTGCGAAACATACCGATCGTATGATCAACGCCGTTGGGAATTCGATAACATGGCAGGAGAGTAGGAGGAAGAGGACGCTGAGGCGGACTGCTTCAGAGCACGAAGTTCTTTGGTCGCAGCGACCTCCGCTGAAATCATGCACTTTTGGGGAGCGCCTGACGTCGATTGACCCTGATGGATCTCACCACCTGCTTGTCCAGGGGAGATGATCAACAAACCATGAAGGGCGAAACGGATGGTGGCCGCTGCCTTCTGGCAGGTCGGGGGTCCTTCACGACAGAGGGACGATGCACAGTTCCAAGCTGTGCTTCTCAGAAGCCGGGCGAAGGCTGGCAAACCCGTGGCTGCTACAACGCAGTTCCGGGAAATTGTCTTCTTTCTTTCCGGGAGGCAGCCCGTTTACTATTCAGTGCGCTGAGCTTGATTCCGGGAATTCGTTTTAGCAGCCACGGATTTGCCAGCCCTCGCCCAGCTTCCAAGCTTCGGCGGTATGCGTGGGGCACGGGGCTCCAGAGTGCTGGCTTCCAGGAGGGCGGGCCGAGCAAGTCTGCCCATGCCGCCGCGCGGAGACGGGGCAAGAGACGTGCTGGGCCCCGTGGCTGAGGAAGAGGTCGGCCGTGCTGGGGATGTGCTTTGGCGTCATCAAGAGCTGGAACCAAGAGAAGGGCTTCGGCTTCGTCGCGTCGCCGGAGTGGCCGCTCGCTGGTTCTGCTATTTCTGCGGCAGTTGGCAGTGCAAGGGGTGTCTGGATGTTGTGGTTCAGGGTGAGGGTGCAATTGTGTGTGTGTGTTTGGGTACTGTGGAAGTGCCAGGGTTCGGGTTTAGGGTTAGGTGTCGAGTGCGAGTGTGTGGAATAGGGGTGGTGTCAGGGTGTTGGGCTAGGGTGTCAGGGTTTGGAGGCTTCTAATTCGGGTGCTTAGTGTGTCAGGGTGTCAGGGTGTGGCTTAGCGTGGTGAGGTAGTCGGCTTATGGTGCTAGAGTGTTTGGGCCCGGTGCCTAGGGTTCGGATGCGGGTGCTAAACTTGGATTTGTAGGGTTGGGGTTCGGGTGCTAGTGTGGTCGGGGTATGGTTACGGTGTCGGGTTTGGTGTGTTCGGGTTTGGGCGTTAGGGTCAGATGAGTTTGCGGATCAGGATGTTAGGATGTTTGATTCAAGGGTAGCGCACTAGTCTGTCAGGGTTAGGGTTCGGGTGTTAGGGTTAGGGTATTCGGGTCAAGGTGCGAGAGCTATTATGCTGTAATTGTTAGAGTAAGATGTTTCGTTGATTATGTTAGGGTGTTAGGGTGTTAGCGCGTGTGTGTTATGTTTTGGTTAAGTGTTGAGTCTCAGCGTTAAGGTGCCATGGTCTCGCGTGTCGGGTTAGGGTTTTTTTGTACTGCGTTAGGGCTAACTTGAGCGTGTTTAAGGTTAGGCTTAGGGTGGTAGCCTTTGAGTCAGGGCGTTAGGGGTACGGTTTCGGTTCGGGCGTTGGTGTGTGTGTGCGTGTTGAGAGTAGGGTCAAGGTGTTAGGATTTGGAGGTTTTGATTAGTTTGCTGGGGGGTGAGGGTTAGGAACTATGTTTAGGATGCGAGATGCAGGTTTAGGTTGTTGGTGTGTTGGGGGTTGGGAGTTAGGGATGGGGTGTTCGGGTATTCGGCTCTCAAGCTCGGGGAGAGGGGTGTCTCGTCCAGACCCACCTTGCGGGAAGGAGGGTGGCTCTGACTCCACCCCCCTTTAAACGAGGAGGGGAGGGGGAGAGGGTCTGGGACGATGGATCGGAAATTGGGGGAGGGGGGGTGGGGTCCGGACAGGCGGATCGGGGATTGGGGTCACGGGAGGGGGAGGAGAGCGGGCATCCCTTTCGGCCCCATGTGGGGGAACCAGCGACGCGCCCTCTACGATCACCCTTCGGGTGATAAGGAGGTTCGGGTGGGGGAGGAGCCAACGCCCTACTCAATCGATCTCATTGTCGATTCCACAATCGATGTCACAATCGATCAAATTCACTGTCGATCTCACTACTGATCTCTCTCTACTACGCCCCACTCAATCGATCTCACTACTGATCTCACTGTCGATCTTACTATCGACCTCACGGGCCACCACGGGCCACCATGGGCCACCTCGGGACACCACGGGATTCAGCAAACACCACGGGACATAACGGCCGGAAAACCCCCGACCACCGCAGGACAATTGGGGGGGGGCGGTCTTGAGGCCCAGCGGCGCCCTAGCCAGAGGACGGCTCATTCTTCTCGACCGCCCACGCAGTTTCGCCTCGCACGCACGACACGAACACGAAACCGAAATCGATTCCCCGGTGGAGGGCTCTCAGTTTTTCTGCGATTTCACCCCCGCAATTCCGACATACATATATCCGCATTCAGCGTTGCAGTGGCAGAGGTGGGAGCAGGAGGAGCTTGACACGTGCGAGTAGCAGCAGCAAGCGAGATCGCCGCTTGCACTGGGCTCAGGATAAGTCAGCTGTTTTCTTCAGAGCGTATCTGGATGCGTGCGCGTCCCGACGGACATGCATTGAGCGTGTTTGTTTACTGCTTGAGGCATAGTGGGCATTATAGCCCCCGGCCCCCCCTCCCCTCCCCCCCCCTTAACGTACCGCCCCTCCCCCCCCCAGTGCGCTCCGGGCACTGCCGCCGTGCGCACGGCGGGGGGGAGGCGTTACATTATACCCTCCCCTGGCCCCTCCCCCCTCCTATAATGCCCATTATCGCCGAAAGTAAAGGAACGCGCTCATATCAGAGCGTGGATTACCCACCCCGCTTTCGCTTCTAGGCAAGACCAAGTCATATGATACCGGAGAAAAACCCAATCATAATCTTTTTAGGGCTTTAGGGCTATGGGGCTATAGCGCTATAGGGCTAGAAGGCTATGGGGCTATAGGGCTGCAGGGCTACAGGGCCATAGGGCTATAGGGCCATTGGGCTACAAGGTTATGGGGCTATAGGGCTACAAGGCTATACGGCTAGAGGGCTATTAGGGCTATAGGGCTACAGGGCTATAGGGCTATAGGGCTATATAGAGCTACTGGGCGCCTGGGCACCCGGGCACCTGGGCACCCAGGCACCCGGGCACACGGGCACCCGGGCACCCCGGCGCCCGTGCACCCGGGCACCCAGGCACCCAGGCACCCGGGCACCCCTGGGCACCCGGGCACCCGGGCGTGCAGCGAAAATCGGCGGCAAACCTAACCTAACCACATGAATCCGCCAGGACCCCTACAGAGGCAAGCTCTGATTGGGGAACCACGCGCCTCCTCGTCAAGCGGCCTGACCAGCGCAGGCCGCAGTTTGGCATCGCTTGGTATCTCTTGGAAGCGAGGGTGGTCAAGAGCAAGGCAGGGCCTCCCGGGCTGAATTCGGCCACGACGTTGCCCCCTTTCCCCCTGCCTCTCGTGCTGGTCTCGCGCTCTGTCTGTTCCTGGCTTTGGGGGCCAAGATCAGACGATCAGCACTTACAGTCGGGGCCCTGAAGAAGGAACCCTTTTCGTTGGGGAGGGGCTCCGCGTTCCTTAAGTGTTTCGCAGTTTGCCTCAGGTTTGCCTTGTGTTTTCGACAGGAAATCGAAGTTTAACTTATTGAAAAAAAGGTGCCTCGTTCCTCATTTAGGGTTCCTTAGGTCAACGCCCCGACTGTACCTCACTGCGGTGTTGGGTCGGTGGATGTCCGCTCCCCCGCTCCTCCATGCAAACAGTTTCCTGGCAGGCTCCACTTGGTCTGCGCAAGTGGGTCTGAACATGAAGGCCTCTTGGATGTTCGTTTGGGTATCGTTTAAGACCTCTCGAGGGCCTGGTGGAGGCAGCATTGAGGCCTCTTGGGCGCCATTTTGGGGTCTATTGCTGCCTCTTTGGGCCTCCTGGTGGCCTCTTGGGGCGGAAGGCTCGAATTGTCAGGTCGTGTTCCCCCTCTCGGGCCCATTAGGAATTGTCTCTCCTGGGCGATCTTGGGCGCCTCCTGGGCCGGCTTGGGGGCCTCTTGAGGGTCTCTTGGGCCGTCTCGGGGCGGTTTTGGTGGCATATGGGGCCATTTGGGATTTTCGGAAGCCCGAAAATGCGGGAACGCGAAACACATCGAACAGCACAAGGAACAGCAATGATGTTTGCCTTTTGGGGCCCTTTTGGAGGTCCTCTTGGACCGCTCTTGGGGCTTCTTTGGGGCCTCTTGGGCGGTCTTGGGGCGGGCCATCTTCGGCGTCTTCGGGCGCCTTTGTGCGCTCTTGGATGCATCTTGAACCCTCTTAGACGCTTTCTGGGGCCCTCTTGGCCCGTCTTGGGGCCCTCTGGCCGCTGGGAAAGTCATGCGAGGCAGGCAGTCCAAGAACGAGCGGGAACGCCAAGGAAATTTAAGAATCTGGGGCCATACTATAATCCCAGAGTCTTGAGCACAGAGAACGGAGGACACATGAGAGCCTGGAGGGAAAAACACTTCGCGCCTCGCGGCACGGTGGCGGATGCTCTGGGCTGGCTGGAGCGTGTTGTGCTCCGATCAGATGCTTGCTGTTGGGCACGTGCGCTGCGAGGGCGTGCGTCCGAGGCGGGAATGTATACATGACCACCGCCTGGAGGGTCAGTTTGCGGAGCCTCGGCAGGTTGTGGATATGGACATATTCGGGCCCACGGGGGCCGAAATATATCCATATCCACCGCCCGCTGGGGCACCGGGACGTCGGTTCCCAGGCGGTGGACATGGATAAATCCCCGCTCCGCAGTGCTGGCGTGGCTGTTCGTCCAGCGCCGTCCGACAGGCTGCGGGAGCGAGCGGGCTTCGAGGAGGCAGAAGTGCACGATGGCAGCGCGCGCAGCGTGCGCAGCGCGTGCCGCGTGCGGGGTGCGGCAGGGCCGGCGGGCGCGAGCGCGAGCGCACGCGGTGCTTCGCCGGGGGGCCCTCGGCTCTCGCGCGTGCTCGGCGCTGGCAGCGGGCGCCTGGAGCCACCCCCAGGCATGCGACGTCCTGGTCCTTTTCAATACTCGGGAGCGAAAGAAGGACGTACAGTCGGGGCGCCGAAGAAGGAACCCTTTTCGTCGGGGATGGGCTCGGTGTTCCTTAATTGTTCCACACCTTGCCTAAGGTTTTCTTAAAATTTTCGATGGGACATCGAAGCTCAACTTATGGTGAAAAGGCGCCTCGTTCCTTATTTAGGGTTCCTTAGGTCAGCGCCCCGACTGTACACGTACATGAAAATGAACATCCACGCTGCTTCCGAGAGGGCGCAGTGCCCGGATGTTCATATCACGCGGCCAGTCTCTCGCGGATCGATGGGCCGTGTTCATGTGCGCAGCTGGGCGCGCACGTCCTTTGTGGGCTCCTGGGAGTCACCACCCACCAAACCACCCCAACCCAACCCGAAGGCTCAGATTTACCCTCGATTTCCAGTGGGGGGGGGGTCGGGAAACATCGAAAAAAACACGTGTGGAACCCTTACCCCCCCCAACCCGAAATTCGGGTCTTCGGGTTGGGTTGGGGTGGTCTGGTAGGTAGTCAGGGAGTCCCGACCTATTCCCCCGGGACGGTTTCTCATCCTCAGTCGTTTCTTGACGCTCCCGAGGCCCGGCGAGGGCCCCCCGAGGTCGAAAGCTGGCCAGCAACCTTTCGTTATGGTTTTTTTCTTCTTAAGACGCGGTCATGTCTGGGTCCTCCACCCTTCCTTCTGGACGCCCGAAATGGGTACCGAAAGAAAGGGTACAATGCCCAACAGCAGTTCCTGTTCATTCTGAACAGGCCTCGCTGTCCACGCCGCCGCGGCCTGTGTCCATTCGAGACTGGAGGCCGCCTGCGCAACAGCGGCCGCTGTTGGTTTGGGACAACATTTGTTGTTGGGCATCGTACCCATTTTTTCGGTACCCATGTCGGTCCTCCACCCCCCCTGGACCATGCAGGACCTCGCGGCTCACGGCGTGGACGGGGACGCCTACCTGCACATCTCGCAGAAGGGGGACCACGAGGTGGGCAGCGAGGCCGCCATACCGCCTTCGCAAGAGAAAACGGGGCGGACTGTGTCGGGCAGCACGGGTGCCCCACCCGGGCTCTCCAGTGCGCTGCCGGCAGGGTTTGCAAGCGCTGCGATGTGGCCTTCTTCCTCCTCGCCCCCCCTGCTCCTCCTCCTCCTCCTACTCCTCCTCCTCTTCCTCATCCTCCTCCTCCTCTTCCTCCTCCTCCTTCCGCTCCTCCTCCTCCTCGATTGGCCCCGCCTGGGGATGGTCCGATGCTTGTTCCAACGGCATCCCGTCGGATGGACGCCCGCACCACAGGTTTCCTTCTTCCCCCCCTTTCTCTGAACAGTTACACCATATGAATACTAATCCCTTCTCTCCCCCGGATTTGTCCGGAGTGTCGCCCCCCCCCCCCCCCCCCCCCCCCCCCCCCCCCCCCGCGTATCGTTTCTTGTAAACATATTTTGCGCGAGCGAGTTTTTGGTGTGTTTTCTGACTTCGATCCCTCTGCGTCTTGCTTTTTACAGGATTTGCGCGAACTGGCTTTTCAGATGGTTTTATACCATCCGTGTGTTTACAGCTCTTCACACATGGTGCTCTCGCTGCAGCGCAGGCCTAGTTTGCAGATCGGCGCTGTGCTCAATTTGTTAAGAATGGCGCTCCCGCCTCAGTCTGTGTCTCTTTTCTGTATCCCACAGGTCTCGCAGGCACCGCAGGTCCCACAGGTCTTATAGGACCCACACGTGTCGCAGGTCGCCCCAGAGGTCTCGCAGGTCCCGCCAGTCTGACAGGTCCCACAAGTCCCACATGTGTCGCAGGTCTCGCATTCCCCACAGGTCCAACAGGTCCCACAGATCCCGTAGGTCCCGCAGGTCCCACCGGTGCCACGGGTCCCACAGGTCTCGCAGGTCTCGCAGGTCCCACAGGTTCCTCTGGTCCCATGGGTGTCGAATGTTTCAGAGGCCCCCCACAGGCCCAGCTCGTACAGGTCCCACAAGTTTCCTGCGTCCGACTGCGCATAACAAGATGGGGTTTTGTGTGGATTTCCAGGTCGGCTATGACACGCGTCCGTGGAGGAAAAATCAACGCAATGTGAAGGTACAGGGAGGGAGAGGGAGGGATAGGACCGGATGTCAGACATGGCGCGAGCGCACTTAGCTTGCCTGCACCTCCCTCTCCCTGACCTCAGTGGGCAATGCGCCTCCTCCTCCTCCTCCTCCACTTCCTCCTTCATTAGTGCTGGCGCTCCTCCTCCGTCCTTTTTCGCGCCCTTCTTCCCTCATGCAGCGCGCCGCTGATATCCCATTCGGCAGGTCGCCTTCACCCTGCAGCTTGTCAACGGCAGGCGGCGCCCCCGCGGCGGCGGGGGAGTGGAGTGGCAGTGGACGCTGGCACGTCCTGAAGCCTCGAGGGCGCGCCTGGTGCCTGAAGCTTGGGGGGAGAATGGAGGGGGGTGGGGAGGCGGGGGGAGGCGGGAACGGGTGCAGGTGAGGAGCGGGGGGGGGGGGGGGCCGGGACGGCATGGGGGGCAGGAGGGGTCGGGTGGAGACGGGAACGAGGGGAGGGAACGGGAGAGGGAGGGGACATGGGGGCGAGGGGAGAAGGGAACAGGGGCCTCTGGACGGCTGTCGCCCCCAGCCTTTCGTCAGCCGGCGGGGGCGGCTGAGCGGCAGCTCGGAAGCCCTTCAGTGCGCGGCCTGTCTCGGGCCCACCCGGGGGGCCGCCGTGCGGGGGACCGCAACGGCCCGCTGCACTGCGGGCGCCTCCCTCCGGCGGCAGGGGCCCGAGGCGAGGACGGAGCGCGGACGGGCGCCGCGGCTGAAGTCGGGCGTGTCTCTCGACAGGAGGAATCTTCAAGGAGGAATATTCAAAAATAGTTCAGAAATAGTCAGGGGACGATTTTTCTAGTATTTCTGCTGGCCATTTGGGGGTATTTTTGGGGGTATGTTTGACTTTTGTTTTAAATATCTGCCTGTATAGGGGGACATGCCCGACCTAAGCCGCGGCCGCAGTCGTTTCCCAGGCGGCAGACGCCGCTGCTAGCCGCCGACTGGCAGCTGGACGACATCCCAGAAATACTTTCGAGCACCTGGAAAAGTGTCGAAAGAGTGTCGAAAGAGTGTCGAGACAGTGTCTCCCAGTGCCCGACACATGAAAACCCTCGAGTTTCGGTAGTTGTTTCTGGTGCTCGAAATTCTTTCTGGTGATCAAGGCTAAAGTAGGTTGGAACATCATAACCCGGGACGCAGATGTGGATGCCATCTCAGCCACCCCCAGCGGGGGTGGGGGCAAGTTCGGTGCGCTCGCGTTTTCGCGAGCGCACCTATCCGCTACCGCTGATTTTCTCTATCCGCACCTATTTCTTACCATGGCGCTGATTTTCTCTATCCGCGGACGCGTGTCGTAGCGGACCTGTGGCTCCGCGCGCGTGTGCGTAGTGGGTGGTGGTGCGCGTGCGTGCGTGCGTGTGTGCGTGGTTGTGGTTGTTGTGGTGGTGGTGTGGATGTGTGTGTGTGTGTGTGTGCGTGTGTGCGCGCGTGTGTTGTGGTGTGACGTGGTGTGGCGTCTTGGTGGTTTGGTGGTGGGCCAGGTGCGTACGTGCGTGATGGCGGTGGTGGTGGTGGCGGTGGTGGTGTATGTGTGTGTGTGTCTGTGTGTGTGCGTGTGTGTGTGTGTGTGTGTGTGCGTGTGTATGTATGTGTGTGTGTGCGTGTCTGTCTGTCTGTGTGTGTGCGTGCGTGCGTGCGTGCGTGCGTGCGTGCGTGCGTGCGTGTGTGTCTGTTTGTGCGCGCGTGTGGTGTGGTGTGACGCGGTGTAGCGTGGTGGTGGTGGGTGGGGTAGTGCGGTGGTGGTGGCGGTGCGCGGTGGTGGTGCGCGTGCGTGCGTGCGTGCGTTGGTGGGTGGAAGTGGCGGTGGGTGTGCGTGCGGCGGGGCGGGGCGTGGTGCGGCGCGGTGGTGGCGGGCGGATGGGCGCGCGAGAAAGAGGCCCGCGCTGGGGCGAGAACGCCATCGTGAACGACGAAAGCAAAACACCAATCCGAAAATGAGGCCCACGCTGCAGCGGGAGCACGATTCGGAACGATTCCGGAGCAGAAATGAGGCCGGCGCCTCAGCGAGAGCAGCATTTTTTTTTTTTTTTAAAAAAAAAATAAAATAAAAAAAAAAAGAAAAAAAACAAAAAAAAAAAAAAAAAAACGCAGGCGAAAACCGAACTCCCGGGAATCCTGTGTGTCAAAAAACAGTACGCGGGGGGGGGTCGGCTACTCCCAGCACGCCATCAGGGGAAGAGGGAGAGTAGTATTCATATTGAGTAATTGTGGAGGGGGGAAGGCTATTTAGAAGCACCCCTGCTTCTTAGAAGGCGCGGGCCTTATCTATGGATGTAAGTCGCCGAGCGCGTTCCACTACTCGCAAGGTGCCTACTCGCAAACGTCCGGAAAACACCGGCCTACATGAATGTAATTTATCGTAGATCCCCCGCGGGGGATCCAGGCCACTTGCAAGCAGTTGCTCTGCGAGTCGTGGAGCGCGCTCGTCGAGTAAGGCCGGCGCCTTCTAACAAGCAGCCTCCTTCTAAGAGGCCATCCCCCCTCCCTCCATCCCCTTGTGCGCGCCGCCAGCCATCGCTCCCTCTGCCATCGGCGGCCCTTCCCCGGGTGCCTCTGCCTTGACCTTCCAGGAGGGCTAAGAAATAACACGCGACGTGAAAACCTATCCCAAAGCCATTCGCCATTCTACGTCTTGGTTTTAGGCTGTTTCGCTCAGTGTTTTAGGTTTTTTGGTTTCCAGTGCTAAAAAATAACTCTCTGGAAGGTCAGGGTAGTGGTCGACGAGGGGACGACCGAGCAGGCTGTGCCCGGGAGGCCTTGGGCGACGGGCCGCTGGACAGCCCTGCGCTCGCGGCGCGCCAGGAGCAGGGCTGGCGTTACGTCGGGCGTGTCCCCTTGGAGGAGGAAGATATTCAAAAATAGGAAAAAATGTCTCGGGACGATGTTTCTAGCTTCTTTTTTTTTGTTTTTGCAATTTTGGAATATTGTTTTGGGTAGCTTTAGTTTTTCTCCCCAAGTCCGCCTGTCGCGGGACATGCTAGGCCCAACTCCAGGAGCAGGGCTGGCACTCGAGCGCGGTGTTCCCCCCCCCCCGTGGGCGTCTGAGGGCCCGAGCCAGCCTGGCACCGCACGCGCTCCGAGGACGGCGCTGCTGCAGAGGACGCGCGCGGTGTGCCGAGCGGAGCGGGTGACGCCCGGGCCCCGACATGACCCTGGCACGCGTTCGCACGCCTCCTTCGGGGGTTGCTAGAGGTGCCCCTGGCCCAAGGTGCCCCCAGCTCTTCGCTCCGTTGCGGCGCCCCTGGGGTCCCCTGGGCCTCGTGAGGGGCGCTCTCGAGGTCGTGGGGGGGCTCCTTGGAAATCCTGGGGGCACCCTGCGCCAGGGGCACTCCCAGCAACGCCCGAGATTCCTCTCCGTCCCCCCGCGCCGATGGTTCGGCTTCTTGCCGCCCTGGTCGCCCCGTTGCCGATCGCCCCTGCTTCGGCCACGGGCTGGGGGGCCGCCCCCGAGCACCCTGGCAGCGCCCGCAGCGCGGTGGGCCTTCACTGGCGCTTCGCCGCGTATCTGCCGCCCTGCCGACCCTGCTTCTGGTCGCCCCTCCTTGCGCCGCTGGCTGGGGGCTCCTGGTCACCTGGGCAGAGCTTTCAGCGCGGAGGGTGCTCTCTGGTGCCCTCGCTCCGTTCTTCTTGCCCGCCTCCACCTCCGCCTCCCCCCCCCCCCCTGGCCGATCTGCCGCGCCCGCCGCCAGCTCCTGTGGCCTCAGCAGCCCCCCGCTGCTTCCCGCGCCGCGCTGCGTGGCCCCGCCCGGCCGGCTGCAGCTTGCGGATCTTCGGCGCTCCCCCACGCCTTGGAGGGCTGGTGTGCCGCGCTCGTTGTGTTCATGGTTCCCTGAGGTCATCCCTACGTGCGCAAGTTCGTCGGCCCCTTCTGCTTCGCAGCGCCAGATGCTGCCGATCCTGGCCGTCGCTGCACGATGCTGTGGTGCTTCTGACCTTTCGCTGGGGTCTTTGGTCTTCGCCTGGTTCCCCCCGGTTTCCCGGACGTCATGCTCGGAGGTTTCATTTGGCTTCCTCCCAACCGTATTTGGTTGTTCGCTTGCGTCCCGCGGACCTGGCCCTGGCTCCCACGTTCCAGCCTCGTGGACTTACAGAGGGAAACAAAAAGTGACATAAACATAAAAACTCGGAGGCCCGCGCGGATTTCTCGGATCGGCGCTGGGGCCCCCCGGCGGCGCCTCCGGCGCCGCCCTTGGCGCGCTCCGCGCGCCCGGGAGGGGGGTCCAGCGCCGATCCGAGAAATCCGCGCGGGCCTCCGAGTTTTTATGTTTATGCCACTTTTTGCCCCCCTATCCCTGACCTTCCAGAGAGCTATGTTTCAGCACCGGAAACATAAAAACCTAAAAAACATAGCGAAACAGCCTAAAAAACAAGACGTAAACTAGCTCTGGGATAGGTTTTTAAGTCGGGTGCTATGTTTTAGCCCTCCTGGCAGGTCGGGGCTATTATCCCCCACCGTGCACGCCCTGCACTTCGCCGTGCGCTCCTGCGCTCGCGCGTGCGGCCTCCGCTCCCCGCGCGCCCGCCTTCTCCCTGCCCTCCTCCCATCCCGCGCCGCGCGCGCGCGCCGCGCGCCCGGCGCCGGGCCTTGACCGCGTCTTGGTCCCCAGCCTTAAGTCGGGCCTGTCCCCCTACAGGGGGGATTTTCGACGAAACATAAGAAATACCCAAAAAATAGTAATAGAAACAAGTATCCCAAAATAGTCTGGGGGCTATTTGTTTCGTATTTCTGTTGCCTTTTTAAGGCATTTTGGGGGTATTTTTCATTTTTCGTCGAAAATCCCCCTGTAGGGGGACACGCCCGACATAACCCCAGCCGCCGCTGAAAGCAATAGGTCTACCAGCCGGTCGCTCCGCCCGGGTGTGTCGGAACGCGCTGGGAAAGCGGATCTTGTAGTTATTTGTCCACCTTTTTGTTCAGGACGCGGTGGCAGCGCCTCGAGGCCCATGGCCAACCAGGTTCGCAGAGAGTGGCCAGACCAGGTCCTCGAGAAGGAGAAGTCGAGATGTGGGCTTCTGACCAACAAAAAGCCCTTCAGGACTCTGGAGAAGGTGGACGGGCGCTTGCTCAGGAGAGGGTGCCTTCGCAGATTTTCGTTGTCTTGAGTTCTTCAGTACAAGCTGGTCGTTGAAAGCAGGTGTTTTTGAATGCCCAAATCCTAATCTACTTTAGTCGCCTTCGTACTTCAAGAGTCGAGCGTTTTTTCTTATTTCCTCCTCTTCAGGGGGCGGGTGGAAGCCCAATCTACATCCAACGCCTTCCTACTTCATGTTTTGACTTACTTCTTCCGACGGGCGTGTACGCGACCCCAGGAAGTTCCGACTCTTTCCCTAGGCCCGGCTTTCCGTCCCCAGTCGTATTGTGATGGCCCGGTGGCCCGATAACGGCCCGCAGAGGCTGACAACGGCGAAAAACAAATTCTTGTCGATAGCGACACGGCGCGAGCATGTCTGGGTGTTCAGGAGGATGCTTTTTTCCCTACCTAGGCTCTGCCTAGAAGGGTTCTTACTCGGTATGCTTAAAGGGGCCCGGCAGTGGGGCTCGCCCCGGGCGGTTCCCCCAGGATCCGCCCCGCGGTTCCCCCAGTTACGTCACCTTAGCTTCGCTTTGTTTATCTCATCTTAGCTTAGCCTAGCTTAGCTTAGCTGAGCTTAGCTTAGCTTCGCTTAGCTTAGCTTAGCCTAGCCTAGCCTAGCCTACCTTAGCTTGGCTTAGCATAGCTTAGCCTGGCCTAGCCTAGCTTAGCCTAGCTTAGCTCAGCATAACTTAGCGCGGCGCAGCATTAGCATAGCATTTCATAACATAGCATAGCATGGTATATCATAGCACATCATATAATAGCGCAGCGTAGCATAACATATCATATCATAGCATAGCATGGCGTAGCGCAGCATCTCATAGCATAACATAGCATGTCACAACATAACATGTCATATCATAGCTTAGCATAGCACAGCGCAGCATAGCATATCATAGCATCACATAGCATAATATATGAAAGAGCGTGTTCTACCGCTACTGGCGGAAAACCGGGGGGGGTCACTACCGGTTCGAACCCCTCCCCCCCCCCCCCCCTCGGAAAACCGGGGGGGGGGGTCACTACCGGTTCGAACCCCTCCCCCCCCCCCCCCCAGCTCATCATGAAAAGGGGGGGGGGGTCACTACCGGTTCGAACCCCCCCCCCCCCCCCCTCGAAAACCGAGTGGGGGTGCGGACAGTGGTGGGGACGGTGTTGGTGGGGACAGTGGTGAGGGGACAGCGGGACAGTGGTGGGGACAGCGGGGGGACAGTGGGACAGGGGTGGGGACGGTAGGGGAGGTGTGGTGGGGACAGTGGTGGGGACAATGGTGGGAACAGGGGGGACAGTGGACAGTGGTGGGAACGGTGGTGGTGGGGACAGTGGTGTGGGGACAGTGGGAATGAGGTGGAAACACTGGGACAGTGGAGGGTACAATGGTGGTGGGGACACTGGTGAAAGGCGGTGGCGAGGACGGCGGTGGGACAATGGGACAGAGGTACAGTGGGGACAGTGGTGGGGACAGTGGGGACAGTGGTGGAAACAGTGGGACAGCTCAGTGGGACAGCGGAGGAGTCAGTGGGACAGTGGGGACAATGGGGATAGGCAGTGGTTGGGTCCGTGGAGACAGTGGGGAGAGTGGAACCGTGGTGGGAACAGTTGTGGGAACAGTGGGGACAGTGCGACAGTGGTGGGGGCATTGGTGGGGACAATAGGGACGGTGGTGGAACCAGTGGGGACAGTGGTGGTGAGGACAGTGGTGCTGGGAACAACAGTGGGGGATGTGATGCGAGCGGTGGTAGGGACCGGGAGTCGTTTGCTGGCGGTGCGTGGGGGGGGGTCGAACCGGTAGTGACCCCCCTCGGTTTTCGAGGGGGGGGGGGGGGTTCCAACCCGGTAGTGACCCCCCCGGTTTTCCGGATCCGGGGGGGGGGGGGGAGGGGTTCGAACCGGTAGTGACCCCCCCCCGCGTTTTCGAGGGGTGGGGGGGGGGGGGGATGGGGTTAGGGGAGGGGGGGGGTTTTGCCGGGAGGGAGGGGGGGGGGGGGGAGGGGGTTCCGGCAGGGGTGGGGGGGGGTTTTCGGGGGAGAGGGGGGGGGGGGGGGAGACCCCGGGGTTCGGAGGGGGAAAGGTTGGCAATTTTCCACAGTAAAGCGGCGGTGGATCACGCTCTCTCTAATATATCATACTATATCATAACATAACATAGCATATCATAGCACAGCATAGCGCAGTATAGCATAGCATAGCATAGCATAGCATAGCATAGCGCAACACAGCATAACATAGCATAGCATAGCATAGCGCAGCATAGCATACCATAGCATCGCCTAGCGGATTATAGTATATCGCACTACCTAGCCTAGCATAGCACAGCACAGCATACCATATCATAGCATAGCCTAGCAATAGCAAATGTAGGTATTAAGCTGTAGTCGTACCCGTACTACTACTACTACTACTACTACTACTACTACTACTACTACTACTACTACTACTACTACTACTACTACTACTACTATACTACTACCTACTACCTACTACTACTACTACTACTACTACTACTACTACTACTACTACTACTACTACTACTACTACCTACTACTACTATACTACTACTACTACTATACTACTACTACTACTACTACTACTACTACTACTACTACTACAATACTACTATACTATACTACTACTACTCTACTACTACTACCTACCACTACTACTACCTACTACTACTACCTACTACTTACTACATACTACTACTACTACTACTACTACTATACTACTACTACTACTACTACTACTACAAAACATACTACTACTGACTACTACTACTACTGACTACTACTACTACCTACTACTAACGACACGACGAATGACGACGACGACGACGACGACGACGGACGACGACGACGACGACGACGACGACGGACGACGACGGCGACGACGACGACGACGACGACGACGACGACGACGACGGACGACGACGACGACGATGACGACGACGACGACGGACGACGACGACGACGACGACGACGACGACGACGACGACGACGACGACGACGACTACTACTACTACTACTACTACTACTACCGCTACTGCTACAACTGCGACGATGAGGAGAAGGAGGAGGACGGCGTTTACCGTTACTACTAATATTGCTCTCCTCGGGGCTCCAACTCCTAGGTAGGGTCGCTCTGGGATAATTTTCCAAAAGATGCTATGCCCCCCCCGATGGCGCCGCGCAACGTCGGTCACATAACATAACATGTGACGAAAGCCGAGCACGACCCCCGCCTCCGATCTGTTCTGAAGAACCGATGGTTGGTGCGGGTACGGTCTGGAAGTTTTGGAAGGAGTGCCGCTCCGCCTGCTCTGACCCACCACGCATCGGCGCGCGATACGCTATCCGCGGGTGCAACTTCCCGAACGCTTCCGAGCCTCCTGCCCTGCGGAGCGGACCGACACGTCATCCGCGTGCAAGGCGTAGCGCGTCGTCGGGGCAGCCGCCACGCCACGCCATGCCAACGCTCCCGACCGTGCGGCCCGGACGTCGCCACCTACGAGGAGGCGACATCCGGACCCGAGGAGGAGGAGGAGGAGGAGGCGGAGGAGGAGGAGGAGGAGGAGGAGGAGGAGGAGGATAACGAGGAGGATATGGAGGCGGATAAGGAGGTAGGAGGAGGAGGAGGAGGAGAGGAGGAGGAGGAGGAGGAGGAGGAGGAGGAGGTGGGAGGAAGAGGGGAGGAGGAGGAGGAGGAGGAGGAGGAGGAAGGAGGAGGAGGAGGAGGAGGGAGGAGGAGGAGGATGGAGGAGGAGGAGGATAGGAGGAGGAGGAGAAGGAGAGGAAGGGGAGGAGGAGAAAGGAGGAGCAGGAGGAGGAGGCGGGGGGGAGGAGGCGCCTGCCCCGCGCGAGGCCGCAGGCCCGGAGCCTCAAGACCCCGGAGGAGGGCCGGGCGGAGGGGGCGCAGTCGGAGGCCCGCCGCCGGCGCGCGCCGCGGCCCCGCGCCACGGCGGCCGCTACTCGGGCGCGGCCTGGTGCGGTGCGACCCGGTGCGCGGGCCCCCTCAGCGAGAGGAGGAGGAGGAGGAGGAGGAGGAGGAGGAGGAGGAGGAGGAGGAGGCGGAGGCGGAGGCGGAGGCGGAGGAGGAGGGGAGGAGGAGGAGGAGGAGGAGGAGGAGGAGAAGAGGGAGGAGAGGGGAGGAGGAGGAGGAGGAGGGAGGAGGAGGAGGAGAGGAGGAGGAGGAGAGCAGGAGGAGAGGAGGAGGAGGAGGAGGAGGATGGAGGAGGTAGGAGGAGGGGGGGAGGCGGAGGCGGAGGCGGAGGCGGAGGCGGAGCGGAGGCGGAGGCGGAGGCGGAGGCGGAGGCGGAGGCGGTGCGGAGGCGGAGGGCGGAGGCGGGGGCGGAGGCGGAGGCGGAGGCGGAGGCGGAGGAGGAGAGGAGGAGGAGGAGGAGGAGGAGGTGGAGGAGGAGTGAGGAGGAGGAGGCGGAGCGGAGGAGGAGGAGGAGGAGGAGGAGGAGGAGGAGGAGGTGGCGGAGGAGGAGGCGGGAGGGCGAGGAGGAGGCGCCGCGGCGGAGGCGAGGCGGGAGGCGGTGGCGGAGTGCGGAGGCGGAGGCGGGGGGGGGGGGGGGGAGGCGGGAGGCGGAGGCGGAGGCGGAGGCGGAGGCGGTGGCGGTAGGCGAGGCGGAGGGCGGTAGGCGGAGCGAGCTCGGAGGCGGAGGGGAGGCGGAGGCGGAGGCGAGGCGGAGGCGGAGGCGGAGGCGGAGGCGGAGGCGTGAGGAGGTGGAGGAGGAGGGGAGGAGGCGGAGGAGGATGGCGGAGGCGGAGGCGGAGGAGGAGGAGGGAGGAGGAGGAGGAGGAGGAGGAGGAGGAGGATTGGAGAGGAGGCGGACGGCGGAGGCGGTAGGCGGAGGAGGAGGAGGAGGAGGAGGTGGAGGAGGGGGAGGAGGAGGAGGCGGAGGCGGAAGGCGGAGGAGGAGGAGGAGGAGGGAGGAGGTGGAGGAGGAGGAGAAACACGAGGAGCCGGAGGGGTGCAGAAGAAGAAGAAGAAGACGAAAAAGAAGAAAAAGAATAATAATAAGAAGAAGAAGAAGACGAAGAATATTATTAATAATAATAAGAAGAATACTAATAAGAAGAAGAATACTAATACTAAGAAGCATAAGAAGAAGAAGAAGAAGAAGAAGAAGAAGAAGAAGAAGGGGGAGGAGGAGGAGGAGGAGGAGGAGGAGGAGGAGGAGGAGGACGATGGAGAAAATACGGACGAGGAGAAGAAGGCTTCTTGGGGCCCTCGTGAGACATCCTGGGAGCCTCCTGAGGGGGGCCTGTTAGGGGCCTCATGGGGCCTCTTGGGGGCTTCTTGGGGCTTCTTGGGCCGTCTTAGGGGCTTCTTGGCCCGTCGGACGCCTTCGGACGCCGTCTTTAGGGCCTCTCTGGGCAGTCTCGGTGTCCAGTTGGAGCGCTTCAGGGCCGTCGTGAGGACCCTTTGAGGGGCCTCATGGCTGTTTGTCTGGGCGCTATCTTGGAGGCCCTTTGGGCCGTGTCAAAATCTCGTAATACATATACATATATATATATATATATATATATACTAGTGTGGGCCCGTGGATTAAATCCACGAAGTTGGGCGGATCGAAGCATGGTGGCACGCGCTGGGTGGTGCGACGCTGCCAGCTACTGCCGTAGATCCCTTGAAGCTTTTTCTAGTGCCTTTCCCCAACGGAAGGCGCCCAATGCATCGAAACGGGGGCCGAAGTGTTCGAGCTTCGCAAGAGGCAGAAATTCAGGAGTCCAGGCCTGAGCAACGTTAGAATATTCGCGCCAGGATCGCGGCGGACGCGGGAGCGGGTTCGGGCAAACGCGGCGCCGTCTCGGGCCGCGTCGGAACGGCGTCGCGGCAAAGTAGGGAGCGCAGCGGGGCAGCCCCAGGGCCACCGGAGCGTCAAAACAATTGTTTTTTCGCATGCGAGGGGCCGACCCCCTCTGTTGAAAGCAATTTTAAAGCTTCTTGGGAGCCTTTTGGGAGCTCTATGGGAGCTCTTTCGGGCTCCTCGGGGGCATCTCGGAGCCCTCTTGGGCCGGCAGGGCGCCTCGCGGGCCGTCTTGGGGCCGTCTTGGGCCATCTTGGGCGCCTATCGGGCCGTCTTGGGGCCATCGTGGGCTGTCCTGAGCCCCTCTTGGGCCTATCGTGGGGTTCTCTTGGGTCGTCTTGGGCGCCTCTTGGGCCGTCCTGGGCCCGTCTGGAGCCATCTTTGGGCCCTCTTGGGGGCTGTCTTGGGCGATCTTGGAAGCCTCTGGGGCCGTTTTGGACGCTTCGAAAAGCAATAAGCCGAATCTGCTGAAAATATCAATTTTCCGAAGGGGCTGTGACGACTTTAGCTTGATGAAACCCTTTCGGGGGACCCCCTGGACCCGCCTGGAACCGTCCGGGGACGTCTTTGGGGCTCATGGGGCCGTCTGGAGAGCATCTTGGGCCGCTTGAGGTCGTCTCGGGGCCTCCATAGGCCGTCTCGGGGCTGTCCTGGGCCCCTCTTGGGCCTCTCGTGGGGTCCTTTTGGATCGTCTTGGGCTCCTCTTGGGCCGTCCTGGGCCTGTCTGGAGCCATCTTTGGGCCCTCTTGGAGGCCGTCGTGGGCGATCTTGGAGGCCTCCAGGGCCGTTTTGGACGCTTCGAAAAGCAATAAGCCGAATCTCTCTGAGGGTTCCGGGGACCGGGGGCCCACACAAACCCACAGGGCATCTGTCGGATTTATATAAATGGATATATACACATACACAACATCAATGGCTTTCGCCTCGGGCTCTCTTGGAGGGTCTCTTGGAGGATTCTTGGACTGTCTTGGGAACCTCCTGGGCCATCTAGAGCCCGTCTTGATGAAAGCTTCTTGAGCCGTCTGAGACATCTGCAGCCGTGTTCCTATCTTCTTGGCTATCTTGGACGCTGTCTTGGAAGCCATCTTGGCCGTTTTGGAGGCCGAGAAGACCGCCGGAGAGCAGTTTCAGGGGGAGGGGGTGAACGACGCTTGCGGCGAGGGGGGGCGGGTCCGAGAAACATTGTAGAAACCTCCCAGACAACAATCGAAGACACACACACACACACACACACACACGTAACCTAAACTTTTGGCGCTTCGCGCGGATTTCTTGGATCCGCGCCTGGGGCCCCCCGGCGCCGCCTCCGGCGCCGCTCCTGGCGCGCTCCACGCGCCAGGGAGGGAGATCCCGCGCGGATCCGCGCAGAGCGTCAAGAGTTTATGTTTATGTGGTTTCTTCTTCTTCTTCTTCTTCTTCTTCTTCTTCTTCTCCTTATTCTTCTTCCTCCTCCAAGCAAGCGAGCACTCGCACGTGCCAACTCCCTGCAGGCACAGAGGCGGGTTGGCGCTTCGCCTACAGTGACCGCTCTCCCGCTCCGGGCGAGAGCGGGCGTGACCGTGGGGGGGGGGGTGGCGGGAGGGCGCCGGCACGGCGGGACTCGCGCTGGCGCCGTCCGGGGGTGCCTGGGAACGGCTAGTTTTTTTAGGCGGGCATGTCCCTCCACAGGAGGAACCGAGGAACATTCAAGAATATTTTAAAAAATAGTCAGAGGATGATTTTTTTTTTTTCTATCGAATGATTTTTGCTTATTTTGGAGGTATTTTTCCATTTTCTGTCCACAGTCCGCCTGTAGGAGGACATGCCCGACCTGAGGCTAGTTCGAATCGTTGCGTGACCAGGGGGGGAGGGGGGCGGGGCCACTCACGGGAGCGGTCGCGAAGCACAAGCGGCACGCGTGCCGTGGGGGTGCACCGAGATGGCTTCCAAGATGGCTCAAGAGTGCTCAAGACTTGGCATCGCTCGGACGTGTGCACTTTTCCTTCGGCGAGGACCATCGAGGAGCATCCTTGACCATTTGGCGGAAAAACCACGCGCGAAGCGGGAAAAAACACATGGAATGGGCGTCCGAGCGATGCCCAGAAGACGGTTACCTGCTGCCCCCATCATGCCTCCACGAGCCCCCCAGCCCCGAGTGCTTTCGGAGCACCCTCGGCACCCCGTCCCAAGAAGCTCAAGGCCTTCAAAATCTCATCTGTTGTTCCTTGCCAGTTTTTCGCTTCCGATGGGCTTTTGAAGCCTCCAGGCTGGGCTGGGTGGGGGGGAAGGGCGGTGCCGGTGCCGTGCGTGCGTGCGGAAGTGAATGGCCGGAGCGGAGGAGGCGCGCCGGATGGGGTGCGAGGGAGAGCTGGGCTGGCTGGAGGGGGGGTGGGGGGCGGTGCCGGCGCCTTGCGTGCGTGCTGGAATTATTGTTTGGGCGTGGCGGATGGGGCGCTCCAGATAGGGGGCGAGGGAGAGCTGGGCTGGCTGGGGGGGGGGGGGAGGCGGTGCTTTTGCCGTGCGAGCGTGCCGACATGAAGTGGTTGTGGCGGAGGGGGCGCGCTGGCTGGGGGGGCGAGGGGGGTGGGGCTGGATGGGGGCGGAGGGGGCGCGGTGCTGGTTCTGTGCAGTGGTCGGTGCGGGGGGGGCGCGCCAGATGGGGGGCGAGGGAGAGTTGGGCTGGCTGGGCGTGCGCGCCGAAATGCAAGTGTCGTGGCGGAGGGCGCGCGGGTGGGGGGGCGAGGGGGAGCCGGGCTCGCTGGGGGGAGGGGCGCGGTGCCGATGCCGGTGCCGTGCGTGCCGAAGTAAAGTGGCCGGAGCTCTCGGCACCATGTGCAGGAGAAGTAAGCGGGGTTCTGGGGCGGGCAGATTTCGTGGCCCCTCTCATCATTTCAATCCGTCCCCTTGCCCCCCCCTCCCTGTGCCGCGCACGTGCCTCGGGCCATGAGCTGCGAACCCCTCTCTTGGACGCTACCCTCTTGGACACTCGGGGAGTGCGATCCGATTCGATGCGATCCCAGGCACGTTGGCGTCGTGCAGTGGTCACGGCGGACGGTTCTTGCCGTGCTCGCCCTCCCGGTGCCTTCGCCCGGCCCAGGCCGTCAACAGAAAGGCTCGCGAGGTCCGC